TTTCTGATTTAAAGGAAAATGAGCCAACCTTCTTAATTATTTAAAATGATAAAAGGTGAAACAGTTGTCTCAATAATTTCTTCATGGCAAATTATCCATCATTAATATAATAAACTAAAAATAAAAGAATCAAAGGAGCTTACGTGGAGGAGGATGTGGGTCATCTATTGAAGAAAAAAATATAAATTCAATTATAGAAAGAGATTAAAACTTATTGATTTCATCATCAAAACCCCAAAACTTCATATCAGAACTAAATGATTGTCTAAATCTGTTAGTAGAAGCATCTAAATTGTTTGGTGACACCACTTAAAAAAATTCTATTCTTATGAAAATTAAATGGTTTAATTATAATAGAGAACATTTAAATTATTTGTGTATTGATGGAAGAGAAACAACAAAAAATAAGAAAAATTTGAAAGTTTATTGACAATCCTTACAAGTTATTTAAGAAATTCAGGGTTTATTTGTTATTAAGTTTTATAAATATGTAACGAATTTTTAAGGATTCTTTATGCATTCTAATTAGAAAATCCTAAGAGATGCTTTGAAATATCAATACAACAAGATTACTTAGAAAAGATATCAGAATTTAATACTTAATTAGAAATAGAGTAAGCAAATGTTTGGAAAACGGGCATTGAATTCGAAATTACAATTATGAAGATTATGATAATGAATTCGAAAACCAATTCCACAGAAGGAACTGATTTATTGATTAATTTCTTTAAGGAAGCTGCAAAATCAATTGTATCATTTTCACCAACTGATGGTTTACTTTAAACAATAATAGGTGGTGGTAAATATCTTCTAAAAAGAGGTATAGAAAAAAAGTTATATCCAAAAGAAGTTTATTAAACTTATTATCTATTCTAATTAATGAAATGGTCAATTGTAAGATAGTTAAAATCAAAATATTCAGTTTATGAATAAATATAGTAACTACAAAACATTTTCTAATAATATATACTACTTTCGGGCAATTGGGTTTTGCATTTTAGTTGGTTATAGATGATTACTGATATCATTGCATATCGACCAATTATTAATAAAACTATTTTAGTTAAGAAATTCCAAGATTAATAATTAAAACTATAGAATTCTCTAATTAAAAATAATTTAATTCATTGTGTTTCATACAATAAAACTGAAGCAGTTATGAGTTTATTTTTAGACTCATAACATTAAATTCATAATGTTGACTTATCTAATTTATTGGAAAATTATAGCAAATAAAAGTTTGTTCTATTTTCATAATTTCTTTTAAGAGAAGATATTACTCAAAATGTTAATAATTGGGGCTATTACAAAAAATTTGCATTTAAAAACTAAAAAGATTTAAATAAGAAGCCTATGAACTCATTTTAGCAAGTTAAGAATAAGAAGTATTAAAGAAATTAATAAATAATGTTAAATCCGAGAAGGATGGGATAATTTAAATTCATTCAAGAATTTTACAATCCTTTTAAAACTATTTTAAAGAACCATCTTAAACACTTATTAAAATATTTTAGGATGATTGTCAAGTTTCTATAAAGTAATTCTTATAAACTTATAAGAAATTAATCATATAAATAAATTATATCTTAGAATTATCAAAATTTGAAGCTTCTAAATTGAATTTGCTCAACTCTTACTTTGATAAATTTAAGAAAAAAATTGAACTTTCTAAAAGTAAAATGTTGATTTAACTATAGAATTTATAATAATAAATTGATAGTTTTCTTAAACAATCACTTAATGAATCTATTAATTAACTTTTAAATCACTTCTTAATTGCAGTCAAATTTGCAAGTTCTGCATATGTTTTCAATTAATATTTAGAGACAAAAGAATAATAAGAGGTAGATAAAATTAAAAATTTATTTGAAATTTAAAAGTTTTCAGCCATAATCATAACCTTTGAAGCCTAATTAGATTAATTTATTTTCGATTTAAACTCCTTTAAAGAGAATTTTATGTAATTTATGCAGTTGAAAGCTAATTTAGAGAATCTGACAATAAAAATATCAAATTAAAATATATTCGATGTAATCAAATATAGTATTTCAGGAGAATGGATTAAATAAATAGTAAAAAAGCTTTTAGATGAGCACATAAATAAATTTTTATTATTTAAATCTTAATTCACAAGTTAGGGAGATATATATTAAAATTTCATCGATTGCAAATTTAGCATTTTTGTGATCTAATTTTTAAAGTAATTCTACCGAATACAATAAGATAATATATACATGAATAATTAATAAATGTAATATTAAAAAAATAATGATGAATAACCAGAGGAATTGGGTGAATAAAGTTTTTAAAAAATAATTGAAAATATATTAATTTAACAGAAATAAAAAATTGAATGCACTATTGAATAATATAAAATAGTTACTTGATTAGGAAAGTTTTCAGATTGGTTGTAAAAATTTGGTAGCTTAAATAAAATATGATTTTCAATTAGTAAAAGATGAGAGTAAGAAATATAGGAATCAAGAGCTAAGTCATGATATTTTGAAATTCTTTACAGATTCCTCATATATTATATTTAAGGCTTAGGGTGAGGCCGAATAAATTGTTAAGTTAGATCAACTTTTAATTAAATATGATAATAAACTTAACGAAATAAATAATAGAAAAGAGAATATTAATGAGAAAACTACATAAGATGAAATAAATCAAATAAATAAACTCTAAACGCCTTTTTTCAAATACGACAACGAAAAAATATATTAATTGTCTAATAGCGAATATACAAAAGATTTAAAAGCAGATAAAGTTAATGGTTCAATTTTGTTGAGTATAAAAAATACATATAAAGCAACAACAGATAAACTTGTTGAATTAATAGATCTTAAATCTGATCATAAAGTAAGAGAAGGGTTAGCCTATAATTTAATAAGACTTTAATACATTATTTAAGAATAATAGATTAATTAATTCTCATGTAAATATATTTAGTTTATGTGGGTATTTGAAAAAGATTAAAGAGTTAGAAATTTGTTGAAAAACAAAGAATTAGTTGAAATTTAGAAATAACAATTTGCTTAAGATTTTGATAATTTTTCAAGTTCAATAAAAGATGAACTGAAAGAAAGATTATAAAAGTTGGAAAACTTACAACAATAAATCAAGCTCTAAGGGAATTAATAAAAAAGAGAGTAAATTTAATAATAACTAAAGGAAACTTATGAGGAATTAGATTCATCTTTAGATAACATTTCAGAATTGTCAGAGGCAATGGATATTAGTTTAGTATTCCTTAAAGATATTTCAAAAGATGTTAAATAGATAAAAACCTAAATTGATAATTTATAGGAATCTGTAAATTAATTAGGTGAAGATATTCGAAAATTAAGGGGAAAAAATTATAAAGAATTACTCGAAATGAGAAAATAAAAGATATTATTACAATCAAAATTAACCGATATGGACTCAGTTTACATTTAATTGCAAACAATTGAATACAATCCTATGACTGTATAGAAAATTCTTTATGAGGACATAGAGTCAACATATTTAATGATGAATTAATGGGATGATCCAGAAGGAGAAGTTAATGAATTTATTTGGAAAGAAGAATTATAAAAAAAAAAAGAACTAAAAGATGTTTTGCTAATTTCAGGATTTGCTGGTTCTGGCAAAAGTAAAGCAGCCAGAAAAAAAGAGGAATTTCTTTGGTAATAATAAGGAATTTATTCGAAATGGATTCCTATATTTGTATCTCTTCCAACTTTAAAGAACCCTAAGTATAATTCATTTGAATAAGCCTTAGAGACTGGGAACTATTAATTTGATAAATATTAAATTAGAGAACTTAAAGAAGCTATTTAAAATAAAAAAGAAAGGATTATACTAATACTTGACAGTTATGATGAGATGAAATAAGATTGTATCTAATAAAATTTATTAAAAACTAATAAATTGTTTTAAGATTTAAATATTAATAAATCTAATCGATAAATGAAAGTAATTATTTCAACAAGAAAAGAAATACTTAATAAAGTTGAATATTAAACTTGGTTTTATGGAGATAGTATTTCAACTTTGAAAGAAGTTTAGTTATAAAATTTTAATGAAGAATAAGAGAATGAGTATTTAAATTAATATGTTGAATTGAGTATTAAGAGGAAAATTAAAGAAATTTATGAGTTTGTTAAATCAATCTCTGGATAAAACTTTGATTTAGAAGAATTTCTTACAATTTGGAATTTAGTTTACTAATAAGCCAAGAATAGTATTAAGAAATCAGAGATAACTGAATAAGATGGAATTTTTTAAATTTAGAAGTTTTAAAAGAAGAATAGACAACTGCATTACAAAAAGAACTTATAGCTTTGTGGAATGCACATTAATTTAAAAAATCAATTCTAAGTGTCAAAATTTAAGATTTATTAACCGCTCCGTTTATGCTAGAAATTGTTGTTTAAGTTTTACCAAATATGACCAAAATTTATAAAGGGTTATCATTAATTAAAGATATCTTTGCTTAAAAATTTTATGAAATTGAAGAAATAAGAAAGAACTTCTAAATTTTTAAGGGAATTTTATGAAAAAGAATATCAACTATCTAATTATAATAAAGAATAAAATTTGATAAGCATTGAAGATCAATAAATAACTAAAAAATAAATAGATGTAGAAAAAGAACAAACTTAAATTGAGAGAGCAAAATTAGAAGAAATTATAGATAAATTTGATAAAGAAAATTTTTTCCAAAAATATTCAATTGTTAGTTCATTAAGTAGAAATGATTATTCTATTGTTTTTGATGGACATTCAGTGAAATTAAATCCTGTGGATATTAAATTAGTAAATAAT